AATGCAATGAACAGTACATGGTACACATTTTATGTCTGCGCGCATTTGAGCCCATGTGTGTTGTGTATGCATGCGTGCATGAGCGCGCTTGCGTTCGTGAATTTGTAGGTTTGCACTTGTGTAAGACTGTAAGTTCACGACTTCCTGCAGACAATTTAGCATTCCCCCACGGTGGTTTTAAATCCGCTGACAGCGTCGACTGGTGAGGTTGAACTGTGCACATACTTTGTTCCTACTATACGTATCAGGTTAAACCCTTGCTCCTTATACACCCACCTTGAAACTGATCTTTTTTATATACAACACAGTGAAAAGGACAGCTAGACAACTGTTGAATGCACGCTTACATTACATACATTGGTATAGCCCGACGAGGCTGTGCGACCGATTGCTATAGGGTCTTCTAACCCTAGCAAGACCGTTTCTTGGAGCTAACATTGGTAATGATTATTGCTATGGTAAATGGTGCGTAGTTACTTTCGTTATTTACATGTTAATGTTATGATTAGAATTGGTTTAACTGTGTTATGGTTAGAGTTAGGGTTAGGGTTAGGGTTAGAGTTAGTGTGAGTGTAATATGGATATAGGGTTAGTGTTAGTGATGTAGTTATGGTTAGGGTTAGGGTTAGGGTTATAGGGTTAGGGTTTAGTGTTAGGGTTAGGGTGAGTGTTGTAGTTAGGATGAGTGTTGTAATTAGGGTTAGGGTTACTATTAGGGTTAGTGTTAGAGAGAGGCCTACTAGGCATTAGCTAGCAGTGTGGTAACTAACCTTACTCTCCTGCTGTGTGTTTGTATAGGAAGCTGTTTGTAGGACTGGGGAAAAGCGGCAGGCAAGATAGCTGAGGAGAGGTAGAAAAAGAAGGAGGCGTATCGTGCGATAATTGAGGCAAGGGGTCGGACCGGAGCAGTTGAAGTTGGAGTATTGCACCCTACAGGCTAGGGCGCTCTCCTAATTAAAGACACAAGTCTACTGATAACAATTTATTACATAAATCTATGCTGAGATACCCCATAACCATATTAAATGCATATTCATTACAAAATATAGCTGGCGTGGTGAGATATTGCGCATGCGCTAACACGCTAACTTAGCCAAATCGTGTACTGACAGGTATATGCAGCGGGCATCTTACATGCAAGGTCTTCTGCCTATTTCTTAAGTGAGGTCTACTGATAAAATGTTATCGTATAAATCTATGATAGGATGACTCCTCTCCATTTTAAATGCATATACTTTACAAAATGTTTTTCTTCTTAGGAGATATTGCGCATCCGCGAGCACCGTTTCAGGTGTTCAGTATGGACTGAAGAAAACTGCATAATATAGCTATATGAGGGGGAGATGGGTGGAGGACTGAGGAAAGGCGGCAGGTTAGATTGCTGAGAAGCGGTAAAAAAAAGGAGGCGGAGCGAGGGACAATGGAGCCAAGGTGTAGGACGGGAGGGGATGAAGCAGGAGTTTTGCACCCTACAGGCTAGGGCGCTCTACTAATTATGAACACAGGTCTACTGATAACAATTCATTATATAAATCTATGCTGAGATATCCCTAACTATAAAAAAAAAATGCATATTCATTACAAAATATAACTGCTCTGGTGAGATATTGCGCATACGCTAACATACTAACGTAGCCAGATTGTGTACTGGCTGGGATATGCAGCGAGCACCTTACATTCACGGTCTTCCTCCTATTTCTTAAGTGAGGTCTACTGATAGAATGTTATAATAGAAATCTATGGTAGAGTAAGTCCTCTCCATTTTAAATGTATAATCTTTGCAAAATATTATTCTTCTCGGGAGATATTGGGCATGCGCCAGCACCGTTTCATACGTGTAGTACGGACTGAAAAAAAAACTCCATAATATAGTCTGAGGGAGAGAGGGGTGAACGGCTGGGGAAAAGCGGCAGGCAAGATAGCTGAGAAACAGTAGAAAAAGAAGGAGGCGTATCGAGCGATAATTCAGGCAAGGGGTAAGACCGGAGCGGTTGAAGTTGGAGTATTGCACCCTACAGGCTAGGGCGCTCTCCTAATTATAGACACAGGTCTACTGATAACAATTTATTACATAAATCTATGCTGAGATACCCCATAACCATCTTAAATGCATATTCATTACAAAATATTGTTGGTGTGGTCATATATTGCGCATGCGCTAACACGCTAACTTAGCCAAATCGTGTACTGACAGGTATATGCAGCGGACAACTTACATGCAAGGTCTTCTTCCTATTTCTTAAGTGAGGTCTACTGATAGAATGATATCATATAAATCTATGATAGGATGACTCATCTTCATTTTAAATGCATATACTTTACAAAATGTTCTGCTTCTTAAGAGATATATATTGCGCATCCGCGAGCACCGTTTCAGGCGTTCAGTACGGACTGAAAAAAACTGCATAATATAGCTAGCTGAGGGAGAGAGGGGTGAAGGACTGGGGAAAAGCAACTGGCAAGATAGCTGAGAAACACTAGAAAAAGAAGGGAGGTGCATCGAGCGATAATTGAGGCAAGGGGTTGGACTGGAGCGGTTGAAGTAGGAGTTTTGCACCCTACAGGCTAGGGTGCTCTCCTAATTATAGACACAGGTCTACTGATAACAATTTATTACATAAATCTATGCTGAGATACCCCCTAACCATATTAAATGCATATTCATTACAAAATATAACTGCTCTGGGGAGATATTGCGCATGCGCTAACATACTAAATCAGCCAGATCGTGTACTGACTGGTATATGCAGCGGGCACCTTACATGCAAGGTCTTCTTCCTATTTCTTAAGTGAGGTCTACTGATAGAATGTTATCATATAAATCGATGCTAGGATAACTTCTCTCCATTTTAAATGCATAACCTTTGTAAAATGTTTTTCTTCTCGGGAGATATCGCGCATGCGCGAGCACCGTTTCAGGCGTTCAGTACGGACTGGAAAAAAACTGCATAATATAGCTAGCTGAGGGAGAGAGGGGCGAGGGGCTGAGGAGGGGTGCGAAGGGCTGAGGCGAGGGGCTGATGAGAGGCGACAGGGAAGATAGCTGAGAAGCGGTAGATAAAGCAAGAGGCGGAGCGAGCGACAGTTGCGGCAAAGGGAAGGACGGAAGCTTTAGAAGTAGGAGTGTTGCACCCTACAGGCTATGGCGCTCTCCTAATTAAAAAAACAGCTCTACTGAGAACAATTTTTTACATAAATCTATGCTGAGATACTCCCTAACCATACTAAATGTATATTCATTAGAAAATATAACTGCTCTGGTGAGATATTGCGCATGCGCTAACATAAAACGTAGCCAGATTTTGTACTGACTGCAGCGGGCACCTTACATGCAAAGTCTACGATGGAATGTTATCATATAAAGTTATGCTACTCCTCTTTATTTCAAATGCATATTTTTTGCAAAATATTGTTTTTCTCGAGAGTGTTATTCTTGTTATTCTTACTTATCTTTATTCTTGTTATTTGTGCGCAACGGCGTTCGTTCGGTATAGGCCTACTTTTCTGTTGCAGAGGAGCATTTGAACGGCATTTGCAGGAAATTATCGGAAACAATAGGCGAAAGAGAGTAGAGAAACATTAAGCCTTTGGTAGTTAATACATTTCGTATATATTCACCATCATTTTACTATTGAAACGTTCCAAATGCCTGTGGCTATGACGGTCTGCAAGGACAGATGTGACGTCATGCACGAGTAATCGCCGACAGCACTTGGTCAGAGCGCGCAAATGTTCTACCATATTAGCCATTACTACGTGATGATTCGGACAGATTATTTAAAATACTAGAAGAATATACATATATCTATAATATATTAAAGTGTGACTGGGTTATTTTGACATTTGTAAACACGACCCAAATCCGAGCAGCATGAGCGTGGTAAGCATCGTCCAGGCACTGCGGAAGTATATATAACCATGATCTCCATGTCGACGGCCATAGTGACGGGAGGAGGCGGCGTTGGGAGACTGAAGCGGGAGAAGACGGCGCCGAGACATGGAGACGAGAGGTGACTGCGTCTGTCAGAGTGACATATCGCGGGGTAGCCGTCGGACTGTATTGTTTATTTGTATCCGCGGAGCAGTCTACTTGTGTTATCATTATAATATTGAAGGATACGGTCATTTATGTTTATGTTAGTAAAGTTGATTGGGTTGACGTTGTTACGACTGTGTTACTGCGTATTCTGGTGCTGACTCCTGGGTAGCAGGCCCGGGGTAGCAGGCAAGGGCGAACCGATCACACCGTATACTACACGCATAAAACGGTGCTCGCGCATGCGCAATATCTCCCGAAAAGAAGAATATTTTGCAATAATTATGCATTTAAAATGGAGAGGAGTTACCCTAGCATAGATTTATATGATAACATTCCATCCGTAGACTTCCCTTAGGAAGAAGACCTTGCATGTAAGATGCCCCCTACGTAATATTATACCAGTCAGTACACAATCTGGCAATCTTCTACACGATATGAAGAAGACCTTGTATTGATAACCTACAACGTGGGCATGGTAAAATAAACGTCGCCGGTAATTTTTTTCGGATTGGAGTCGGCCGAGGCCACGGCATTTTTTGCATGCTAAAATCCGATCTTCAAAATTCACTTTGCTCGCAGCATCGCTCACCGATATCTCGCCCATCCTAATGAACAGAGCAATGGCGCATGGGGTATATATGCCCGAGGGAGATAGTATTTGAATATAGCAGGTGTAGACAGCTTGTTTTGTGTGATTTTTGCTAGCAGCTCATTTTAATTCCAATTGATCATTAAAATGACCTTTCCCCTGAGCAATTTGCGTCCAATATTCATAGAACAACCATTATTAGGTCCATAAAGAAATTAGGCATACGCAAATAGGAAATACATTCTGAAATGCCCCTGTAAACTGAAACACTAAGCTGTTGCGTGGTCAGCTTATGTGTAAATACGGTCCTGCTACCATGCTATTGTAGATTAATAAATATATATCACAACACACTGGTCAAATATCCACGTGTAAATTATATAATATCAATCAACATTTATTGCACTGCAAACACGGAATGTATGTTATAAACGTTTCGAACGTTTAATTTTCTAAGAACCAGCAACAGCTTGCATTGAAAATATACTGATAAAGTTATCATCACAGCAAATACGATCGAATTTCTGGCACTCAAAGAAAATTAAATGAATTTGATACATTAATACTACCTCTTAAATCAAATATTTTTGTTGCTCTCTAAGAATTTCAAAGGTCCAATAAGAAGTACACTGATTATCAGCTATTGATAAAGATAAACACATATTCACTATAAAAAAAACAATTACAATAAAACAAATTACTGTAAAGCTGTAGGTATCTTGTTTAAGATATCGTCTAACCATAAAGGTCTTGGTCCATACCAACCGCACCACTTACATGCGAACTGCGAAGGTGATATTATGTGTCTTAAATAAACATGTTTAAAAAAGAGATTGGCAGGTGTTTTTTTTATCATAGCAGGTTTGCACGGGTCAATAAACGGAATGTGTAATAAGGAAATACATACATTCTTTTACATAGAACAAAAAATACGTTCTAAATATGTACTCTTTCGATCCCACTGTTACCCAGAAACAATCATAATAAACCGAGTGTCAATTCTGACAAGTCAAACTTCTTAGTTGGGGACGGGAAAATGACAATATATTTTTATTTGGCCTAATCCGAAATATAATATAAAATAAAGTCAGATAACATAAAATATATAATACCAAAATAAGAGTTAAATACAGTATATGACATGGAATAATTACATATTGGACGGAAAATGTAATACAGCTTTGGGTAAATAAACATTTTAGCACTCAATAGTGTTATCAGGACACGAGACAAGTAAACCACTTTTATCTTGCCCTTAGCAAGTTCCCCTTTAGCCCACCTCCTCCCTACTCCTACAAACACTGACACAACTTCTGGCGTTCCTACAATTGTGCCCTTCTAAGGAGAAGGTTATACCTAAATGCTCAGAAAAATGGCCACTCCTGGCAGTACCAAAGAACAATGATCTTTGGCAGTATTGCACGGTGCTCCCACCTATTTGGCAATACCAAGTAGCTGCTTGCGCTGCTGGTCTAGCAGCCCTTCCAGGTGGTCGGCTCTCCTCACCGCAGCCTGGTACTGCTGTCTGATCTGACTCAGTGTCTCCTCCTTCTTCACGATGGCCTGCTTGACCCTGCAGGAATGGCACACGGCGACGCGTTAGGATTACGTGGACAGCACTCCCTCGCTCACTCATCCCCCCCGCACACGACACGCCCAGGTGAGGTGCTTATAGCAGTACAGAAGCACGTATGCACGCACAGACGGACGCACGCACGCACGCAGGCAGGCAGGCACACGTAGTCACTCGCTCGCATGCACAAACGCGCACACACATGCACACACAGTCACTCGCTCACACGCACACACACACAGTCACAGGCACGCACGCACGCACGCACGCACGCACGCTCACTCGCACACGTACTCGCTCACTCGCACGCACGCACGCACTCGCACGCACGCACTTGCACACACGCACACACTAACGCACGTCTACACCATCTTCTACCTCTTGTGCACCTCCGATCCTCCATCTCGGCCTCCTTTACACGGATGCACAGACGCACGCACGCACTCGCTCGCACGCACACACGCACACACCGTCTCCTACCTCTTGTGCACCTCCTCCATCTCGGCCTCCTTTGCGCGCACGGCCTCGCTCGCCTCGGCGCGCGTCCGCTCCAGCTCGTGGCGCCCTCTGGCGCGCGCCTCCGCCAGCTCCTGCTTCCCCCGCCGGCTCTCCTCCTCCGTGGCGACGATGCGGTCGGCAAACTCTTGCCGCACGACATCGCGCATCCTCTCTCGCTCGGCTGTCAGCTGAGAGAGCTCCTGTGGAACAGGAAGCCAAGACAAGACGGTAATTCGGTAGGATTTTCCACTCACGTATACTTTCCGTTTAACTTCTCATCATGTTTCTGTCAACGGTTTAAAAGAAAAAGTCAATGTTAAGACTAATTTTGTTTCTGACGGTGGACCCCTTGACAACAGACAAGTCCGTTGACATCCCCGCGTGACGGCACGCCACGTTACCAACATAGTCACAACTAGCGCTACAACAAATATTCTATTCTATTACGTCGTGGTTTTACGTCGTCAGCACTCAGGACAACCGAGAAGCTGAGAGATCTCCAGCAGAATCAGGGTTCATAGTAGTAAGACACATGTTGAAATAAGGACTTATTTCTGGAGGCCAAAATAAGACGTTTTTACGTGATTTCTGATAGACCACCGACTATTAAAGTACACTAATAATATTTATATAAACAATTGCACAGCAGATTTAATTATTCCATATTATATATACAACAATTCTTACTCTAAGTCGAGAACAGTAAGTTGAAAAATAAGGACTATTAAGTACTTTTCTAAGATTTTACCAAAAATAAGTACTAATAAGGGCCTTATTTTATTTTTGGCAAAATAAGTACTTATAAGACTTTGGAAGACCCGCTACGAACCCTGAGAATATACAAACACCTGCCAAGTAACACACTTCCCAAGTGAAAGCTCGCCCCATTAACCATCACAGCTTCTGTTACAGTACACATTACGTTATCAGCACCCTGGACAACAGATAGATGGAGAGATACAGCTGAAAGGGCAAGACACTTGCCAAGCAACACACACTCCGTGTATACGTTGTTACATTCCAGATCATACCATGCGGTACAACGAACATTTCATTTTGGATGCCTGACAACACCAACAAACAATATTTCTTTATAGTTTTTACTTCGACACCAACAGAACTGCACGCCTGTTGCCTTTTTTCCTCATCTGCAGCAACAAGTATTTCAGTCCTTCTACAGTATACAACAATACTTATTACACCCTTGCAAGCATAAGTGCATTCCTGATCAGCGTTAGAAACCTTTTGAAATTGTCCTACCTTTTGCATTTCTTCTTTGGCCTTCTCCTTCTGTTTCAGATGTGCAACAAGTGTGGCATTCTCTCCCTCTACCTCGGTCAGCCGACCCTGATGGTGCAAGAGAACATTGAATTGAAATGAACAGAGCAACATTACAACTATCTCATTTACAGCTAAAGATTTGCAATTAAAAACTTGTCCACGTATTTATCAGCACAACCACACCTTTTACCATTTTATAAAAATACACATATGATAAGATATGACCACATGTGGTAATATCCTATCATATGTAAATTTTACACAGATGGAGTGCTTTTTAATGGAGATTACCTTCATGTGGTTGTATTTCTCTACGGTATCCCTCTCAATAATCTCCAGTTCCTTCATCTCAGATTCATACTTGTCTCGGATCCGTCTGAAAATGAAACCATTTTTTTCTTTTTGAAATTGGAATGCCCCCGCCTCTCTCTCACGCTCTCCCTCCCTCCCGCTTGTTCGCTTGCTCTTGCTCTCCTGCTATTCCCCCTCTCTCGCTCCCTACTAACCTCCCTCACTCTCTCTTTCCCCCATCTCCCCCTCTCTCTTCTCTACAACATGATCTCTTTCCCCCATCTCTCCCCCTCTTCTTTTCTACCACACACACTCTCTCCCCCTCTTCTTTTCTACCACACACACTCTCTCCCCCTCTCTCTCCGGTAGTAAATAGGGCTCTCTCCCCCTCTCTCCCTCTCTCCGCTAGTTAGTAGGGCTCTCTCTTCCCTCTCTCCCTCTCTCTCTCTCCGCTAGTTAATAGAGCTTTCTCCCCCTCTCCGCTAGTAAATAAGGCTCTCTCTCCCCCACGCTCTTCCCCTTTCTGCTAGTAAATATCACACTCTCCCTCTCTCCGGTAGTAAATAGGGCTTTCCCTCTCTCCCTCTCTCTCTTTTTCTACCACACTCTCTCTCACTCTTTCTCTCCGTCGCTCACTTGATTCTGTTCTGCATCGCCTTCTCGCTCTCCTCGCGGCCCGCCGTGCTGTCCCTCTCCAGCCGCTCGATCACCGTCTCGATCGCGCGGTCCCGCTCCCGCCGCATCCTCTCGCCAAGCTCCTGCTGCCGGCCGGCGAGCAGCAGCTCCTGCTTCTTCGCGTGGTTCTCCTGCCAGGCTTCCTTCTCGACGGCGAGCCTCTCTCGCAGCTGCGCGACCTCTGCCTGCAATCGCACGCGGCGTTAATATTAGTTATTTATATTATATTATATATATATTATATTTTATTATATTTATTTATCGCGATGCTCGAATCTAGAATCAGCTCTCACGTTGTGCTTGACGCTCCACTCCATTTTGTCCTTGTCAAACTCCTCCTTCAGTCGGTCGATGACGTATCTGCTGCTCTCCTCGATGCCCCGCTGCAGCTTCTCTATCTCCTCTTGTTGACGCAGCGCCTGCTCCGCCTGCCTGTCCTTCTCCGCCTGCACTTCCGCATACAGGTGGCGCCGCTGCTGCTGGTACGCCTCTTCTTCCTGCTCCACTTGTTTTTCGTACCTGTTTCGTTCAAGTGGGACGTTAGCGGATGTTTATGTATCGGGTAGCATACTCGATTCTCAATCTCTCCTTCACCCAAAACTTTTCCCTCGTCGTCATTGCTAATGATCAAGTATGCAGTCCATAGTTCTAACAAACCGTCGTGTTACGCAGACGTTTACTCATCAAAAAGCGTTTGTCCTATAAAAACGGGGATCAAACGTCGACGTTGCCGCCGCGCGTGCGTGCGTGCGTACCTCTGGCGGGCGAACTCGCGCTCGTGCGCGCACGCGGCTTCCTTCTCTCGCGCGCACTGCTCGCGTAGCTCCTCGACCTGCTGCACGAAGCGCTGACTCGCCTTCTCCTCCGCAGCCAGCAGCTCGGCGGCGTGCACCGCGTCGAGTCGCTTCACCTCGGCCTTGTGACGCGCGATCAGACGCTGGATCTCCGGCTCCAGACCTCGCACTGTCATCTCCTGTGTGAGCGAACGTGTGTTACGATACAGTCGGCAGACGCACGCACGAGCACGCATGTAAATGCACGCATGCACACACACGCACGCACGCGCACGTATGTATACGCACGTATGCACACATGTGCGCGCAAACCAATGCACACATGGACACATGCAAAAGCATGTACGGTCGCTCGCACAACGGAGTGGAGGGGAGGTAATGTAATCGGTCTCGTGTGTGTGTTCGTGTGTGTGTGTGTCCAGTCCGCGCGGCGCGATCGATAGCGCGTTGAGTCAGCAAGCGGCAAGTCAGCAGCAGGCGAGTGAGTCAGCAGCAACCACCAGCGAGCGGCGAGTCAGGAGCAGACGAGTCAGTCAGCAGCAGCCAGCAGCGAGCTACATGTTACATGCTGACGGAGGTATGCACTCTCCGTGAGTGCCCTCTGTCTAGTTGAGAAGTATGATGTACAATTAAAATCAGTTTAATAATATTGAAATTCTGCGATACCTTGATTTTTTTGGTTTTTTCAGTTATCCACTTTTCTCTTCTCAGCTTTTCTGCTGCAGCATGCATCTCTTTCACTTTCTGCAGCTCCAACATGTGGCTATATACATTCAAAGTAAACCATTCAAGGAACCTGTGATTATACCAAGCTTTTACTATTTTAATGCATTCCTGTCAATGAGCATTAGCCTAACATACCTAATGTGTACATGAACATGTATACATGTATATGTCACTATAATGTGTAGAAAACTGTTTTACAGAATATAACTGTATTAATTGAAATATAATTCAGGTCAATATATAAAATGTTACACATCTTTGCCGCTCATATTTGGCATATAAAACTTGAATGGCGACAAATTATATTTTATTTTACACCTTTTTGTAAGATGCGCACTTTAGCACATCATAGCTCACAAAGCAATAAAAACACTTCACCTTTCTTGCATCTGTCGGATTTTGTCTATGTACTTCTTCTCTACGGATTTCAGCTCCTTCACCACCTGTTCACACTTCTCTGCCAGCATCTTCTTGTCTCCAATCAACTACACATGATCATCAACAGAACAAATCGAATTAATATAACGTTTTTAATTTATATGACTCCCATTCATATAGCCATTCATAATTGTGAGAAATGAAAACAAAGGAAGAGCCAAATTAAGGCAGGTCTTTCTTCTCACAATCGGGTCTGTACATACCTGGTCAATAAAACCAAGATGCCTTCTTATAGCTGCTTCATACTCCTCTTTCTGCAGGTGCAACCTCTGCTTCATTTCTCGATCTGCATCCTTTGCATGCCTGACGGTTAGCTCCCTCTGTTGTTGCTAAAGAAAACGAAAATTGACATATGTGGCGACAATTCACTTGTAAATAATGCAAAGCTGACCATTACGAGAGAAAGCAACACATCACCTCACGTAAACACTTCACATTTGTTAACGCGAAACCAAGTAACATAGCTCACCAATGCCTTGTGCAATGCCTGCACGGACCGTTGCTTATCTTGTAGCTGTAATTTCTGCTGCAGGACGGTATGTGTCACCTCTGACGCTGCTATTGCTGCCGATTCGAGACCTTCCCCATCCGCACCATCGTTCTGAAACAAGTAGGATGAATTTATGTAACCTTCTGTAAATGAAGCCAATATACGAAATGATGCATTGTAAGAAAACTTTACAAAGCTAACCTCAATTAAAAAAAAATCATCTACGGATGTACTTTTTCTCTTGCTTTAATGATATTTTCAGCTGATATTTGAATTAAATATCATTATTTCAACCTCTGTATATCATAACTATTGTAAATAAACTGAAATTTTAATTAAATAGCAATAATCAAACCCCTATACATCATATATATATATATATATATATATATATATACAGTAAATAAACTAAATTTTAATTAAATATCCCTTGCTGAACATGTATATATCACAACTGAGATTTTAATTGAATGTCAATACTTGACCAAGTATATCGTATATATATCACAAATATAATAAATAAACTGACACTTTAATTAAAAGTCAGCACTTTAGCACATCATAAAAGCATCTGATGAGAGGAAAGACGTTACGCAGTAAAGATTACACAGAACAGTAAACCACTTTACCTGCTCCATCATGGCCAACTCCTCAACAGTTGGCACATACAGATCTCTATATAGATCCGAGTGATCTATATCACTCTGCAGCGTGAAACACAACGCAACCAATGTGCATATATGTAAAGTAGATATGCAGATTACACTTCCCCAACACAATCCATGCCTCAGCATGCCCCACCGCAGATGTTTACGTAATGAGTGCACTTCTTACATTACTGCCCTAATTACAACAGGAGTAAGATAACAAGGGATCCCTTATTAATTTAGCTTTGGCACAAGCAACAGCAGGTATTTATGTCATGAGCGTGCTTCTTCCATTACAACAAAACCTGATTACAACAGGAGTGAGATGACAAGCGATCCCTTATTAATTTAGCCTTAGCACGAGCCACGGAAAGTATTTATGCTGTGAGTGTGCTTCTTACATTACATCCATCCCTAATTAAAACAAGAGTGACGTCACAAGGGATCCCTTATAAACTTACTCATGATTATTTTTTAGATAATTAAATAAAAAATTATGCTGATTATATACTATTATTTAGGAAGGTTACTAGGTTCAGAGAGATAGACAACAGAGTCATGAAACCTATAACCTTTCATTACCTGATTTAACTGACTTATAGTTTCATCGTCCGTCCTTTCTACTTCATCCAGGAAATGCATTATGTTCCTAAAATAGGATATAAATTAAGATGAAAAAATTCAATAGTATTACAGTTTTCATTAGCAATATAATTATTACCTTACTCCTTTACTGTTTCATTGATACATTCCCATATCTGTCACAGGTGACATTATTCTTGTCACTGCCTCTCCCTCTCATATATCAGACCTTTAGCTTTCCTTTACCTCATTCACTCGATTTCCCCATCTCTTATATATATATATTCTCTTTTTGTTTCACTTCCACTCTCCCTGTCTTCCCCCTCCACTTCTCTTTCGCTCTTCTTTCTCCCTCTTGCTGTCTCCTTTCCTGAACTTCCCACCTTCTTCCTCCCCCTCTCATGCTCTCTCTCCTCACTTGCTCTTCATTGCCACATTTCTCACTTATCTCAGACTGAGTATAATAAAATATCAGACCTTAGCTTATCTTCAGTCAGGAGCTTGTTAACTGATGGTGTTGAGGCTCCACTCTTTCCAGCATAGCTATCCTCCAACGGAACACGATGCTCGCTCTTCTCCATTGCACCTGTGGAAATTCCACAGATGTAATCTACAAGGAAGAAATGCTCGCCACAAATACAGTGCTGAATATATTGCTACCAATATTAAATTGCTTTGATCAGCTAGATTTGAACTTTAGAGAGATCATCGTTTAACTCGTTACCATTTATTCGTGACAGCTCGCCCAGGTCTGCTTCCTTCTCCAGTTCTCGCAGCGTAGCAAGGATGTCGTCGAATTTGCTGGCTTCCGCTGCGACACCGCCGCCGCCAATTTCTGTGCAATCACGAGTCTTCGCGGCCGTGACATCATCACGGTCCGTGGCTATGACATCATCACGGTCCGTGGCTATGACATCATCATGGTCCATGGCTATGACATCATCTCGGTCCATGGCTGTGACATCATCACGGTCCGCGGCCGTGACATCATCACGGTTTGTGGCTGTGACATTATCATGGTCCGCAGCCGTGACGTCATAACGATCAGTGGCTGTGACGTTATCACGGTCTGTGGCCGTGACGTCATAACGGTCCGTAGCTGTGACACTGCCGCTGCCGCCTGTGATGTCGCGAGTATTTTTAGGTGTGGTGACATCACCATCCATGCCTGTGATATGATGACCGTCTTTGGCTGTAATGTGGTCACTGCGTTTTGCCGCAACATCCTGATCAACTTCTGCTGTGATATGATCTCTGCGTATGGTTGAGGTGCCACGATCGCTGCCTGTTGTAAAATCACCAACATTTTCTGCTGTGATATTACGACTATCACGATTCATAACCTCATAACTTGCATGGCCCGGGACAAGGCCGCTTCTTGTATAAGCGTCTTGTTGAGAAACGGGTCTCGACTTGTGAGTTCTTGCTCCTTCGCTAGAAGCTATGCAGTCACCACTTTCCACGCGGTTGGGTGGAACTCTCCCCTTTTGCGGGTTTTCCTGACTTTTCCCTGACGCAAGTCTACTGACTTTGCCCGATTGCACGAGAAAATCAAGCTCCTCCTCAGCCTTTCTCTTAGCCTCTTCTGCTTCCTCCATTTGTTTCTTTCTTTGATATTCCTGTTCATGTAAACAATAATTACACTTATACCTCGTACAACTCAAAAGTCTAGATTCCTTATTTGACCATGTCTCCTATCAACTAACAAGGTCTCAATGTTTAGCAACCTTAAAACAGTATAGTTATACTTTAAGCTAGGTTTCTTATTTTTTATACGCAAACACCTATATATCTGTTCTTACAAAATTCATTTCTAAATCAACAATATTCTTCATTTATATGTACAAACCTTCATCGTTACCGATTGCTTCTTCTTTGTCTCATGTGCCATCCTCTGAGATTTCTCCTTGTTTTGCTCCAGTCGATTCTGGTTATTGGCCTGTTCTTCCTCACGTTCCTTTTCCTTTGCTTCTCTTTTTCTCGTTAGGAGATTCCTGAGATTTTCGTGACTTTGTTTAATAGCATCGTCTGTGATTTTGTCTCCATGTTGCCTATTAGGGGATGAACTCTTCATGGCAAGGACACCATCGCTGTATAAACCATCATCGCACTGTGTTACGTGCTTTAATAAGGCACCACCTGCACTGACGTTATCGACGAGTTCGAGTGGGTTGCCTGACGCATTTCTCACGTTGTCCTCGCTTGATAGCGTATCGGCTAAAGCATCAAGCTTTGAATTGAGATCATCCCAAGTCGTCCAAAAACCATTTGCAACATCTGACAGTGAGTCGTCGTTGAAGTCTCTCGTAGATGGGCTGCCATTGGCTGGCGGGGAGACTGTGATGCTTCTCGAGCTGTCCCAGCAATTGCCCTGATGAGCAATGCTGCTGCCACAAGAGACATCATCTTTTATAACTCCACCTTCGGCAAGTCCGATCAAGTCTGCGTGTAAGTTATGTGACACCTTATTACCACGTCTAGGCCCTGCTGTTGATTTCAATGGGATTACAGTTGGTTTGTAAGGCTTTGTTGGTTTGCTGGTAAGATTTCTCTCTGGTGATGCCTTCCGAATCTTGGAGACACTGCCGGTCCTGTTTCTGGGAGACAATTTCTTAGGCGAGCATTTATTGGTCACGCCAGTACTTCTTCTTCTTCTGTCTATTTCCACTAAAGGAATATTGACATGAGGTTGGCTTTTTGATTTCTGTGAGAAGATAAACAAATTATTCAGAATTCAGTAAAAAAGCGGACAAGTAGACCGTAATTACCCTTGTCGATTTGCACAGGCACTTTTGACATATTGATAGGAGCATATATGTGAACTTGGTGCTCAGGTTACCACTTTATGAGTTGCACCGCACCTGTATCGGGTTTAATAATGTGCTGACCTGTACCAATACCCGGCTTCCAATTCTTCCAGAACGCATCGGATTTGATGAGGGCCGTTGAAGAGGTGTTACATTACTGCAACTGCTAGATGTACTGCTTCCTCGACCGCCAAAATCGGATACCAAAGAAATGGATGAGCCCGTGAGACTTAAATCCAATTCTTGGTCTTTGCCCGATTTTCTCGACATTGTGATTATCAGTGACAGTACTGACAGTGTATCACATTATTATAACATCAATAATCAAAACTGGCAACTGCTTAGGTTTGTAAATTGTATTTGGTGAACATATTCGTTCATAACCATAACAACACCTGCAAATTCCAGATTCATGCATATAACGCTACATCGTATGCATGACCTCGTTCTAACGTCACTGGGTACATGTTTTTTTTACAGTGTAAACTAATGATGTAAATATATTATAATGCACTCAGTTTGTCTTGACTATTTTTTACATTTTAGTTTGTTTATGCATTATGCTGCCATCTGGCGGTAATATGATAAATCACTACGTTCTTGGATATTACTCCGCTGCACAAAGCGATGTAATATAATCGTTGGTTTGTAAAATTAGCATTTTTATGCTAATATGAAATGGATTCATACCTCGTCTCTGATCAAATAAATTGATTTTAATAAAGTATGGGATTTCTCGGTTGATCGCTTGGAACTAGTTTTCGTGTCAATATTTTCCAATTTTGATGTTGTTCGGTTGAATGAAGAAGGTAGCCATTTTGGAAGCAAACAAAGATTTTGTGTTACACATTCGCATTTAAATATCCTGGCTTGTGGCTGGTCTAGGAACGTTTGAGGAAGTACATAGTATGGTGAATATATTAAACCTAAACCTGAGATAGCGATGGCTGATAGGAGGAAGCTCCAAGGTAAGAAGCTACCCCCTATTTAAGTTCTGTTGAGCAGCAGGTGTCACAAAAAATGCCAACGTTTGCGAGTGGAAAGCACCAAAAACTTTCCTTTTCTGTTTTTTTTACAACATTGGTTAATAATAAGAGCACCGAATACTTCACCACGCTATTAGCAGACCGTAAAGTACATCAAACAGGCTGATTGTCTTCGCAGTATTGCTCTGTTTCATCGTGTTCAATATCAATTTGTTGTAAAGAACTACGGGGAAGTGAATGATCAGCTGATCTGTGCTAGTATCAGCTGTATAGAAATGATCGGTTATACAATCGAAATTTGAGTTAGGCTCATTACAGTTATACGAACCAGATTACCCATATCCACAGACATGAACAGTATACAACCTAACTCACACACGTACACTAAGATTTCCATTCTCCTATTATTGCTGTGCGCATTAACTTAATAACTGTATTCAACCGTTTTAAAAGTGCCTGGAGCCAATTAGATTTAATGACATTTGCGGAAGGTGTTATCCTCTTCAAAGATCAACAAAAATATGTGTTGTGATTATGTTGTACTACTACTACCATTTGCAAGTTGGTGCGGATCAAAACAACTGTGTATATCCCAGTTATAAAGAGTAGGGGCCTATTTCTATACTGTAAGTCTGTATATTATATCTTCAACGGAATTTTATTTTGAATTTAGGTGAAATTGATAGGTGCTTAAAGAAAGTTGCAGAAGGAGTAGAAACGTTTGAGGATATCTGGAAAAAGGTAATGCACATGTATAGTTGTTTAGCAATTGTAGAACACATTGACAATTATATGTGCAGTAAATAATGAAGCCAAAACATTATCAAGGAAGCCCAGATATAATCACCAATGTTGTTCCACATTCATAAAGAAGCACGTGGTACTGTTTAAAAGGATCTCCAAAATTTAAATTAAGAGTACATGTGTGGATTGTATATTTTAGTATTTGTGTACATTTTAGTAAATAGTGGGATGTAAGCGGCTGGTTCCCAAAATATATAAACTGTTACTATCCGCTAAAGTATTTAAACTGTTGCGCGTTGTTTTCGTAATGGAAGAAATGTTTTCATTTTTTGTATCGGTGACAGGAAGCCAAGTTCTACTCCCAAAGTATCGGCATGTTTTTTTCCCTATCAGCTGTTCAAAGAGAGTGCCGAACACATTCCTCTGTGTACAGTCAGCAGTCTCTCTCATCTTACGATGCTCTTGTTGTGCTTTACGCTATGTCTTGATACACAGGTCCATAGTGCTACGAATGCAAATCAGAAAGAGAAATATGAAGCTGATCTCAAGAAAGAAATCAAGAAGCTGCAGCGGCTGCGGGATCAAATCAAGAGCTGGTGCGCATCGAACGACATCAAGGATAAACGCATACTCACGGATGCACGAAAACTCATCGAAACTGTGAGTAGACGTGCGACATTATTCTACGAAAGATTTGCACTGTGCGAGCTGTTTGCCTTAAAGTTAAACCCGGCATCAAAATTGTGAAAGTAGAATTGTTATTAGGTCACACGCAATCCTTTTTGCTTTACAAGGTAATTGGTCCTGATGTAATGTTCGCGCCGGCATAGTCGTACGTTAACAGTTTATAAATTCTATTTTACAGCAAATGGAGCGATTTAAGGTTGTGGAACGAGAGATCAAGACGAAGTCATATTCGAAAGAAGGTCTTGGAGCAGTCAACAAGTTGGATCCTGCAACAAAAGAAAAGGAGGAGATCACGAACTGGGTCAACGTATGTATGCAAACGAAAGCATGCAATGTCGTAGTGGGAAGTCGATTTGCAATCCTTTTCCTATCCCCACGAAGTACGTTACCTCGAGACAGGTAATCTGTAATGAACCATAAAATTCAAGAAATTACTCTGGTTGCCTTGGTGTATACAGAACTCCTAATTGTCGACTATAGGTGCAGAACGGCCGCTGAGTAGAATCGTGACCGGTGTGATGTCGCGTGAAACGTTGGTATACTCACTATACGTTTTTAATCTGCGTTTCGTTTCAGAACGCGATATCTGAACTCAACATTCAGATTGACCAGTTTGAGAGCACAGTGGAAGCACTGTCCATCGGGAGCAAGAAAAAGAAAGCAGACAAAGATGTACGTCTCTGTTTAAAAATTAAATATTACTACTACTAATAGTAATAACAATAAAAAATATAATACTCATACTAACATGTGCGACGGCGTACAAAGTTGTGTCGCTCGTGCATTCTTCCGTCCTCGGCGCGAGACTCGTGGTGCTCGTGTCCGAGCTGTCACTTGTTTCACGTTGCCGTTCTATTTTGCACGCGTCGTCGTGCAGAAGCAGGAGCGCGGAGAGGAGCTGAGGCAGCTGCTGGAGAAGCACCGGTTTCACATACAGCAGTTAGAAACCATTCTTCGGATGCTCGATAATGACTCGATCAGTGTAGATCAGGTGAGTAACTCGGCAGCGAGCGACAGCTCATTTTACCTGATAATAATGAAAACAATAATGATAATGATAATAGTAATAATAATAATAATGAATAATATATCGTTAGGCACTGAATTGTTTGGTATTTTTACTTAAAGAAATTTCAGACAGGTGTACAGTGAAATGTTCTAGTATCTAACTGTATTGTGAATGGCCTAGTGCATAATGAAATTATAGTGATCCTATTAGAAGGTTGCGCCCAGTGATTATCTATTATAATAGGTTTAATCCCTCCTATGTTCTGACTCACTTTTTCTGACTCACTCTTTATTGTACTTAGGTGAGAAAAATTCAAGACGACATACAGTACTACATAGAATCATGTCAGGATCCTGATTTTGAAGAGAACGAGTTTATTTACGACGACTTGGATCTGGAAGAAATGAGTAAGGGTTGCTATGCACTATGCTATTTTATTATACCTGTATGGCCTTGTCTATATCAGAGATCGGTGACTCAAGTTTTCGACACAATTAATAGGATGGGGGGAGAATTGGGCAACATTTTACATATTTGCGTTGATTAATCGACATTGTTTACTTGCTTAATTGTTACTTATCAAGCATATTCACAAAAGTCCTAATGCGTATCGTTCTTCACAGAGATGTGCAGTTGAGTTAACAGCTTATATATATATATATATATATATATATATATATATATATATATATATAACCATATAGTAATACAGAATAAGAATAATATACTAATATAATGCGATATCTATACTATTGGTATTATCACTGTGTCGCATACTAATAACGAGAGTAACCACATAATATCAACATAATAAGAACGAGAAGAAGTACGACGATGACGTAACGTCGTGATGCGTGTAGCACACTGTTCGGCGAGTAATTACCACGCTGCTGCTGCGGCGGTGGCGGCGCGTTTCAGGGGTGAGCTTGATGCCGGAGCTGTCGGCGGACGACACGGTGACGAGCACGTTGTCCGGAACGCCGACGTCGACCAACTCACGATCCAGCTCACCATCGGACAGTCCAGCACTCGTCAACCATTCCAAGGTAAGCATCGGTGACCTCACTCCTACCTCACTCCGTCGGCTGTCAATAGAATCAATGAAATCATAGTTGATGAATCATAGTTAACGCGTAAACCGTTCCAATGTAAGCATCAGTAACCTCACTCCTACCTCACTCCATCGGCTGTCAATGTTCAGTTCAATGAATCATAGTTAACACGTAAACTGTTCTAATGTAAGCACCAGTAACCTCACTCCTACCTCACTTCGTCTGCTATCAATGTTCAGTTCAATAGACTCGTAGGTAACATGTAATGCATTCCAAGGTAAGCGCCAGTAACCTCACTGACCTCACTCCGTCAGTTTGCAGCTCAGTAAACCCATAGGTAACGCGTAATTCGTTCCAAGGTAAGTGGCAGTGACCTCACTCTGACCTCACTCTGTCAGTCTGCAGTTCAGTAAACCCATAGGTAACGCGTAAACCATTTCAAGATAAGTGACAGCTACCTCACTCCGACCTCACTCCGTCTTGTCAGTTTTCTGCATCTGTTAACCACATCACGTGTCGTCCGAGTTATTCATTCGTTGTTTTTTTCAGGATAAGAATGAACGAGAAGACGACAAGAGAAAACACAAGTCTTCGGAGAGTGAGGTGAGTCGTGACTAATGCTATCACCTCTCCGTCTTGCCGCTCGCAGAAAGTAATACGTTATAACGGCAGTGTAGTCATAGACGTTCCATCATCTGGCTCGTGCCCGTCACTGTATGTGGCAAAACAAATAAAATGCTCTACACTATGTGAATATGTAGGGTTTCCGTTTGCTATCTTGTGGAAGAGAGGTTCACGTGTGCCTGCCGACGGTGTATATGTGTACCTGCCAGCTTGCTTTTCCGTCCCATTTGTGGGCATCAATAAACTATTACAAGATCGAGTTGTATGTGAGATTATTTACCGATGTAATGTAACAGGCTGGTACTGATGTAGACTGTGCGCGGGTGCCCCTTCTGCTCTGGCTGCAAGCCCTTGTTATGTGGCAAAAAAAGTGATCCTCCTCTCTCTTGCAGCAGCCGCCGTCGTTCAAGCCCGTCATCGTCCGGCCGACGCCTCACTCTAGCTCGACGAACTCGTCGTCGTCGTCAGCGTTGACGAGCAACAATAAGAATATACCAACGACACCTACGAAGCCAAATAGGTGCGGTGCTCTCCCCTTGCTTCCAGCGCCACCCAGACCCTCGCTCGCCGTCGTCGGCCCGTTAATGCAGCTGTGCTCGGTTAATGCTCGCGCCACGTTACCGTCTCGGTAGCCGGAATAATGCTACACGTCATTTTCCACGTGGAAATCAAGAATGCATCTGGCAATAAGTGCAGAGTAGGATCTCTGCAACTGCATTGCTTTGGTTTCCTTATAATGTATATATATATATATATATACGTAATATATAGATGCACTGCTGGAGGGTGTCATCGTACGGTCGAGGGTGTGGCTGCGCTGCTCTCGCATTGGGCTTACGCTTTTTTTCTTGTTGCAGTAGCCAGGGTATTATGCTAAACCACGTGGCGGCTCCGGCGCCAACCGGCCAGCCGTACGCAGCAGCCGCGAGCGCGCACCACAATAGCACGCAGGGCGGCAGATCTGTAGCCAACTCCAACCTGCCGCGGCTGCAGCGGCAGACGTCGACCGACAGCCACGGTACGTCTCTCGTCGAACTCTCGAACGCAGCGGCATGCAGAGCAGGTTACCACGGAGGCAGGGGTGAAATGTACTTGTGTTACGACAAGTGTAGATGTAATGGAGAGTGGTGTCGTGGTAAAAGATGAACCGAGCTCGAGTTAACCGATCCCAGAGCTGCACGCAGGAGATGCAGGTCGGCGAAATTTCGATTTTCGCGAGATGAAAAAAACGGGGAAAAAGTGGGAGAGCCAGCCACAAAAGTGCTCTCCCTGACCAAGAGCTACCTGGTTACGCCGCATGGAATGGTTTAAGGATTTGAATGAGAACGTAGGTTTGCGAACTGACACGTGGCACTTGCGTTGCGTTTTTGCAGGGTCGGAAACGAAGCTGGCGAATTCGTTAGACCACAATGGGCCGAGCATCAGCGCGACCGTAACGACGACGACCGTGAGCCTTCTGCAGTCCTCGGGTAACTCGACAACAACAGCGCCCTCTATCACCAGCAGTGCAAACTCAAGCTCAACACTACTTACGTCGTCTTTGGGGCAGAGCGAAGTGCCGTTGCAAAATAAAAGCGACGTCATCATGAACGGACCAGCATCTTTAGAAAAGGTACAAGGTGGCAACGACTGCGGATGCAGGAGAGGATGAGGAGGGATGCAGAATGCGCTGAGGATAAGAAACGGGAAAAATGAAGAGGAGGAGAGAGAGAGTAAAAGAGAAAGAGTGATAAAGAGAGAGAGAGAGAGAGCATGGGGGAGAGATGGAGAGAGAGAGAGAAAGGGAGAGTGGAGAGAGCGCGATGTGCGTGGGGATAGCGATCTGAATTTCTCATTTCGTCAAATAACAGTTGGATATGCATGGTTGCAACGTCCACGCTTAGGCACTCATTCCCCGTTTGATAATTCCAGGTAGAACCACGTCGCCTATATTTGTTGCATGGCAACGAGCAGCAGCAACAACAACAACAACAGCAACAGCAGCAGCAACAACAGCAACAGCAGCAGGTGTTGATGCCGACCACGAGGAGCATTGGATCTCTTAAGTCTATGGTCGAGCAGGTAGTGCTCACCAACAATTCAGGGCTGCCGAGTCAGTCAGACCAGTCGCAGGCAGTGGGCACAAGCGAGGAGACGCGAGGTAAGCGTCTTCTGGCCGCACTAGGTAGGTGTGGGTTGGCTTAACCCTTACGTTTTTATTCGTTATTATTATTATTATTGGTCGCTTCGCTAACGATTAACGGTGTTCAGCTCTTAGTAGATGGTCTTGCTTCAGTGGTTATAATGTGATAACTTGGATTCTAGTCTCTATCTTTCCAATGCTGTATAATATTAGTGATAGTACTGATCATAATAATAATATTAATAATATTAATAATAGAGGTAATCTATCTGGTCTGTGGTGTATTATCGCGTCAAATATTGAACTTACATGAGATTTGATTTTTGCATCACACATTCTTTGTGATCATCTTTCTTTCAGCTCCGTTCGATAGCAATACACCGTCGGTGTCAACGTCAGTGCTCGCCTCCACCCTGTCAACGCAGCAGCAGCAGCAGCAGCAGCAGCAGTCGTACCCCTCCAGCGTAGTCGAGCCGCCGTCTACCACCACTGTACATATTCCGCCGTTGATAGGAGTTGCGCCACTGGGTCCCGTCCCGCTGAACAAGGAGCACGGCTACCAGCTGGCGATGCTAGAGTCCACCATGCACCATCTTCCGCATCCGTCTGACTCGGAGCGGTTGCGGTACGTCTGCCTCTGCTGCCACCGCCACGGTGGATCCGTCCTCCCTGCCGGTGCTGTGGTTTGTCCGGCGTTCTCGAGTTTTTTTCTCACGCGCGTTTTGGAACTTTGCTCGCGTGGATGTTTTGTTTCGTCGTCGTTCGTAGCGGAAGAATTTCGTCCAACTCGCGAATTTCGCCGGGCGTCATGCTACCCGCGCGCGCGCGAGTGCGTATATCTTCAGTAGGAGCCCTTCTGCGTATCCGTGTTGAGATTGTGGTGTGCACGTTTGCAGGCATTACCTCCCACGGACGCCCTGCCCGACTCCCGCGTGGTACCCACAGCTGCCTCCGCACGTCCTGGACGCTGTCGACTACTTCCAACGACTGTCAACGGAGACGCTCTTCTTCATCTTCTACTATCTTGAGGTGAATGCTAAACGCCTGGTGGAGTGTCTCGCTTGGCATAGCTGCGCAAAGTACAACGACTGCGACGCTAGATTCGTGGCGCTTCTGTCGTATGCGATGGATTTTGGTGAACCTTTTAGATTAAGCTTAATGATGTGGAATTTCTTTGTGGTGGTAGCCCACCACTTCTTCTGCATGAGATGAAAAGCCAAGCTAAGCTATGCGGTGCTCTTTCATTCGTTTTGCTGATGGTGACAGTCGATTTAATTCGTGGCTCAAAGTCGATGTCGAATGTGTTAATGTGCCTGGATAAAAAATTAACTGAAGTGTGTTCATTTGTTTTAGGGCACAAAGGCTCAATATTTGGCAGCAAAGGTATTGAAGAAGCAGTCGTGGAGGTTCCACACCAAGTACATGATGTGGTTCCAACGTCATGAAGAACCAAAAACTATTACGGACGAATACGAACAGGTGTGTTTACATTGTTGCATGTCACACTACAGGCTAGGTGTTATTCCCTTCAATTGACTTCCCGACTCCTTGACTCCTTTATGTATTTTTGGTTCTTGTTTCTCGCGTGAAGTAAGGATCCATGGGTTAATAGCAGACATGCGCTAATGTACTGATAATTGCTTTTTAGGGCACATACATTTATTTCGACTATGAAAAGTGGGGCCAACGCAAGAAAGACGGATTCACGTTTGAATATCGATATCTGGAAGATCGAGATTTGAACTAGACGTGAGGGATTTTTGACAATGTGTACAGTCGTACGAGAGCTGCCGACTGCCAGGGCTGCGGCGGACGTTGCACGCGCGCGCGAACGACGAATTCTGCCGCTGCCTCAACAAACGTGGAACATCGTGGTCGCTTCGTGAGAAATACAGTCCTAAGTGCTAGAGTTATCGTCATACTGTCAATAGTCGCTAATCGGAGTTCACGCCCAGGACCCGACACCTTTTTTTCGAGCGCTGCTGTTGGGCGGTCTGCTATTTGCTCGCGACCGTCGAAGCTAACATTGGTGAATTTACGGTGGCTCGCATCCACTTTTAGTCGTACGTACGTCGTGCACCAGGCACAGGCTTTACACTTTCGTTATCATTGTGTGTGCGTGCGAAAACGGTCTGTCTTACAAGCATTTTTAGCCACCCCCAAACCATTAAAACCGGCATCCTCTCTTGAACTCGAACTCGTCCGAAACCCACGTACGAGATTTACCCGCCGTAGTACGGACTATTAGAAACTATTGGAAAGAGGCAGACGTTTCTCTAATTCTTACATTTGCGTCAGCAGGCAGCATTTTTGGTGGGAGGGAGCGGGGGGGGGGGCGTTTCAGAGGCATCGTGGACGTACCGGACGGACGACGACGCGACTTGCTGGGTACGCACTCTTATACGGCCGACGTTTATCGGATCTTTTTTAAAAGTTGTGGCGACGGTCGGCCCGTCGTTCCGCGCCTTGCTCGCGCCCGTCTAGATTTCTCTCGTCGCGGCACCACTCTCGAATCTCGTACTGCTCGCGCGCGTGCCGCTTCTTCCCGTCCCGTTCGTTTGCCGGTCGGTCGCGCTACTCGCCCTGCACACACGTCTCGCCTCGCACCACCCACGACCAGAAGGGTAGGATGGTCGTCGTAGAGCTAGCCCTTCTTCAGTTACACGCACGTATGCAGCAATGTAATTTGCTTCCAAAATGAGCGCCGGCTTCATTTTCAAGCCCCGCGGAAGAGAAGTCGCGCGGCGGGAGAAGGTGCCCCCGCCTCCGTCCCTCCTTCCCTCCTTCCCTTCCTCGAGGCATCTTTAGTAGTGTTGTGAGATCATCATACACTTTTATTGCCGATTTTTTTTGTCAGAGTTGCGGAGAGCTACTTGTTAAATGCTTGCTTTATCCATTTAGTAAGGGGACCCATATCTGTGAGCCATTGGTATTTTTGTACAGCGGAACTGGCCTAGGTGTCGCCTCCTGTCAGGGGGAATGTGAGACGTCACATTGACGTCGCTGTGCAAGGACCCGACTTGTAAATATATCCGAGGGCACTGCACATGCGCAGTGATCTAAATTATGGCAAAATAAAGTGATTTTTTGTCTGTGTATAGAAACATGCGAGTTCCGATGGTTTTACTGTCGTGGGTTTTTTTCCGTCACGAGTCGGGGGCGCCGTTTTGCGCGTTTTACACTCGAGGTCTATATTATTACGGCCGAACGTACTTACACTTTACAAAGCGGTGTAGTAATATCACGCCGCAGAATGCACGCTCTTTAGACGTTGCTACCATTGTGGGAAACTCCCGATGCTTGACAGTGATCTCGTGTGGATGACGAACGGGAAATTAAAGGCTCACAATGCGCATCCAAACGCTAATTTCTCCAGTACTAGACTAGCAAATACTTCGTGTCATGCATAATCACACTACCTTATGACAAAATAAACTCTAGTTGCTCCCATTTCACTGCGCGTTTGCTTAAAACCCACAAGAGGTGAGAAAACTGGCATTCTGGCGCAAACGCCGACTGTTTGCCAAACAAAATAGCCTCGAAGTGGTGACGTGACGTCGCATGTTTTTATCTTTGCTGCGCCCGTACCGCTGTACCGCAGCACCGCTGTACCGCAGCACCGCTGCACGGTTGCTTGGGGATTGGGGAAACTGTCAACAACATCGGAGAATTTCAACAACATTGGAGGTATTTTCAAAATACCTTTTATAAGACAACGCGCAGTGAAATGGGAGGAACTAGTTTATTTTGTCATAAGGTAGTGTGATTATGCATGACACGAAGTATTTGCTAGTCTAGTACTGGAGAAATTAGCGTTTGGATGCGCATTGTGAGCCTTTAAATGTTAAAGCTTTCGGTCAGAATGTAGACTACCTACCGCTAAACGATTTCCCTGTAGTTCCCAGCAATTACACTGCATCCATTTTGCACGGAACATCAAATCGGTCACTGACCTAATAATATTCACTGACCTCATCAGTAGTACCCATCCTAAAACTTGCACTCACAACTTCTTGTGTGATTGCCACCATTCCTGTTCTCACGGTCGTACGTGTAGTTGTAAATAATCCACCGTGCAGATTGTGGCATTCCTGCGCTAAACGGCACCGGTAGTGTCTTGAGAAGAGCAGTTCGTATGGCGATGGCACCTCTAGCAGCTATCTGGGCGCATTACGGTTTACCATCAGTGTCAAATGGTTTTATATTACTGCCTGCGTAGAGGCAACGCTGACTGCCTGTGATGGGAACACTATTGAATCATGTTGCATTGTATATGAGAAATTATTTGTGTAACTGTCTAGTGTGACGTTAATATATTACATGTTGGATACGTTATTTTATCCATCGCTGTACAAAATATATTGTTGCCTTCTAGGATAAATTAAAACTTAAATTTCCACATTTATGTACAAAACGTCGGCGTTTGCGTGTGTTCCGTTTTTGTGTATCCGCGTGAAAATAAACGACATTCCTGTAACAACTCTCATGCGAAGAATTTTATATAAACTAAATGCGTCCACTTACGATAGAAATACATAGATAATTTATTAATTTAATATTAAAGACATGTAAATTAGCGATCGGAAACACGCATCTACTACGGTGTAGATTGCAGACTACTGTTGATGTCACCAAGAACTACCCCTGGCGGGTTGCGGAAGAAGCTCCAGAATCTCTAGCGGTTTTGCAGGTTCGCATGCCAGTATTCTAACGAGCGGCGTCGGATGTTCGTAAGTTGGTAGAGAAGTCTGGAATGGAACCACACGATAGTGTGCAAACTTCATCTAGACAGCTTCTGTCACGGTCCAATTTGCACGGTGTTCAATTGTACAAATAGATAAAAGGAAATTCCACTCGTGAAGTCTAATGGACGGCGTTAGTTGAAGCCGGTTTTGCAAACAGATTGCAAACTTAGCCACGCGTGTCACATGATTGGTTTGCAGATTGATGCAGGTTTAGTGATGTCGTAGTGGTTAGTTGCGATTCACGCACTGTGAGAGCAGGTGATGGCTTTTGTACTAACCTTGATGTAAACCTTGCAGAGTTCCATTAGATATTTCCACTTGATGGCCGTTTTCTCACCGTCTTCCATGTCCTTGAATTGTCCAGCCTGCCAAGACGAAACCCATTCATTCAAACTTCTTAGATTATTATGTTGTTACATTACAGCATGTTGGTGGTTTGTAAATAACTGGGTATCTATTCGCAAAGTTGCGCAAGTAATCCAGTTTATGCGATACAACGTCGGAAATATCGTCCGACCACCCGAGAGGAAGAGATTCGTAACGGCGTTGCGAACAACTCGCTTACGGGACATCCGATCAGCGTCTCTGCCTGCGCGCCCCCGAGCCGCACGGCCCGTAGGGAGCCCGTGCGGTCAGACAGCTGCAGCAGCACGTCGTACTGGGCCTGGGTGTCCGGCGGCTCCATCGAAGAGCCCATCGGGCAGTTGATGTTCGTGCACAGGTATGTCGCGTCGTCCGTTCGCTTCTTACATTGGTTGCTGCGGGAAGCGGGAAACGGGGCATTGATTATCGCTAGACTCGCAATGTACGGTCAGTCGGCTTTCGACTCTGCAATCCAAGGCTTTAGTTTACAGGGATTTACATTACGTTTAAGGTGCCCGCATCATAAGGTGTGCAATGTTTGGTCAGCTTGAGATGTGCCATGTATTCCAGGGTTTTATTTTATACTGATTTACAATACGATATGGTGCCAGCATCATAACAATAGACGTGCGCAATGTATGCTCAGCTTTAAATGTGCAATCTAGGGTTTCAGTTTATATGGATTCCCAATGCTAGCATAATAACTATAGACAGGCAATGTATGGTAAGGTGTAGATGTAGGTGTAGGTTGTGCGTGCTCCAGAATTTTACTTCGTACAGATTTAGAATACGTTGAGGTGCAGTTTGCTATTGCTTTTAAAACACTGTACTGTGAGGGCATATCGCAAGACTCATGCTAACATTAGCAATAACATATCCATACTCGATTATGGGCACGTTTGTGGTATTAGGCATACATTTATACGTGTGAGAGGCATACGGCATGAGCAATAATGCTTCTGCTAACGATATACGAGCCCAAGACAGTCACCATGCAGCCAACACGCTCCATGCAGGGAACATGATGAAGTGAGTGGGCAACAGTTACTGCAATCGTTTACGCTCCCGACCGATTTTTTGCGTAGAAAAACAAATTACCTACCAGCGAATCGAAACGATCCTGTTCAGTTGTCCGTCCAGATCAAACTTGGTGACGTAGGCATAGATGATGCCGGCGACATTGGGGTCTGACGCATCACTCCGCTGGCTGTGCATCTGCTTAACGTCGTCCAGCGTGAACACGTCCTTGATGAGTGACACTGTAAGCAATGGAGCATAATGCAGAAATGCAGGGGTACCATGTGGCCTACAACACTCATATTTGTTGTTACAATTTACAAACGCCACGGTATAATCACAACGATTTGTGTGCTGTTAGTACAATAAGCATTGGTACGGCGATAAATTATTAGAAGTTGCGTGGTTATTACTTATCGATGTAGATTATATAATCATTATCCTCTCAAGTTCATTGCAGGCAAGTTCCAATTGGCGTACATCTAATTCTTAGTATGTGGTTCATTTTGCTGTGTGTAAATCCTGACTATGCAAGATATAGTGAGTGATCTTACAGTCGATGTCTTTGTCACTAATTCCAATGATGCTGTCTTCACCACTCAGATCTGCTGTCTGTGCCCATTGGTACAGGTTATGAGCCTCCTTAGTGTCTGGTAATCCAATCGTAAGCGATTATACATGCTTTACAATTTACAACTATACCATGAAATAGTTTACACACGCACACACGCACACACACGCACACACACATTTATATATATATATATATAATATATCAAATTAATAAATTGACAATCATGTTCTCAATAATATTATAGATATGATTATATTATAATAGCATAAGAAGTGGATTCTCTTCCTGTTTTATACTGAACCATACATGGTGTTTTTTTCTCATATAGTTTTACACACCTGGATTAACAGTGAAGATTGTCTTGCTATCACACGTCCCAACCATCGCCTTTCTGTAGTTGTCATACGACACTTTTACGTCTGCTGCGAATACCACTGGAATACAAGCAAATTTGTCAGTAAAAGACGGTAAAAGATATTTAAAAATTGGGTGTGCATACCATGCTTCTACAGTTGCATGGGTTGTTTAGATATTAAAACGCACGTTACCATTATTCAACACATAACCTATCCACTTACGGCACCATGTCTTCCCTATTGCTCATATGACTATGAAAAACAGATAAAGCAAGATTATTTTTATTGGCTTCACTGCGAATAGCCAACAGCGTAGCTACGGCAGTCATAATAATTGTGCCTGCTCATAAACTAGATGCAGATATTTGTTGCTACGCAGTTTCTAACAGGCAAATGAGCTAGCTTACCATATTCCTTTGGGCACCATGTCAGTGCAAAGTTTATGTTTGCTTCATCCCAGCTGCCAAAAATAATTAATATTAGTATTTTACATGAAAAATGCTATCAAACCTGTGTTAACAGTTGCCTCTGAAGAATTGGCACCTATGTATAAAGGGGACACTTGATATTTCACGCGAGAGCCACGTACGGTATACAGTGAAAACACCCCAATAGGCCAGACAACTGTCTATAAAGGACACATTTTAGAATTTCCCCTTTGGTGACCGACATATACAGGTTTCACTTTATATCCATACATAGATATAATCATAGCTCTGTAGATACTGTGAGCAATAGGATGCACTATAAATTACCCACAAACATATTGTACGGTATCAGGGTTCTCCAAGCTTTTAAATTATAGCATGGGGGTGCTACTCACTGCTAGGGGGGGGGGATGCCCCCCGGAAAAATTTTTAATTGTAGAAGCTCTGAGATGCAATCTGGGACACTGTGTGTAAATTTGAAGCACTGCATGTGGGGTGAAAATGTTTGTTTTGCATGGGCAAAGCCATAGGAAAACCATAGGAAAATTCATAGGAAACCCATAGGAAAACCATAGGAAAACCATAGGAAAACCATAGGAAAACCATAGGAAAACCATAGGAAAATTCAAAATAATTATTTCTTGATGAGCAAGAAAACACTCGGATTTGAAAATGAACATTATTGTGCCAGCTAGCCTACACCAGTTGGTTGGGATTAATTGTCAGTTCAGATGCAAAATATTGAAAGCAAAAGGTTATACACTATAGATTAATTTTGGTACTATAACACGTGTATATAAGATAGCCGAGTCGGTTTAGAGTTAGTGTTAGGGTTAGGAATAGGGAGACTGTTTGTACTTGTGTGTGGGACTGCCGCAACCGTAGCATCGAGACCAATGTGTATTAATTGTTTGAACTTCTTGTGTATACACCAGCATGGCGGCTATATTTAGCGTGGCGGGTGCATTTTAGGATGGCGGGGCTCGACGATAGGCCAGGCTATAAGTGCCCTTGGAGAACCCTGGGTATATATACCGTCATGACAATTGCAAAATTACGTGTTCGACATACAGCGTTAGTGCAAAGGTTGTTGCAGTCTGATCGCAAAGTTTCACCTCAAGTTTCTTAATGGTTCTTCCAGTCTTGGTCTTGATGTCCCTAACTGCTCCCATCTATACAAAAAAAATATTAGTAAATCTAAAAGGTTTGATGTTTATTCAAATTATGCATTGATCTACTAATACACAGTAAACAACTTGTGCTTTGTTAATCTGAAAATACAATCAACTCTGTGGTTCTACTTCAACCAAAGAGCCTAAACATATGTCACTTGCACATCTTACCAAGACCACGTACTGTAAACTTGTAGGTTTCCCCATGGCGATAACTTACGGATTTTACGACAGCGAGCAGGTTCACATGCTCTCCCTGGAGCGTCTGCCCGTTGTAGCTGACATCGTACAGGGAGAAGAAGTCACTGCTCTGCTTGATCGGCAGGTGTAGCAGGTTGGAGAATTCCTGTTGAAGCCAAATACAAAAGATATGGAAAACTTATGGTCCCAATATTACCTGTACGTAGCATATTTATTTAGACGTGTGGAGTTCCCAGATAACATGCGGCAGAAATATACGTAAGCCTTCCTTGTCTGTGTTTCAAGACAGTTGCACGTACCTGTTGATTCCAGTCACTGCATAATTCGATTTTGGTATAATTTTCATTGGCTACCAAATGCAGGGAGCTGCAATATTTAATACATACAGCTATAAATGTTGCATTTCAGTTCTTTGCAACTTAATATTATAAGATTCAATTAATATAGGTACATATGAGTCATATGATATAGGGAATATGATTTATTTTAGCGTTTCTTGAGGGCCATACATTTGATGAAAAGATCAAATGCATGCCTACCTCGGAGTCCATGGCCTGAATCGCTCATCGTATTCGCTCTTTGGCTGTATTTGGGCATTTTGTACTGTCACTACAAATAAGATTGCAATTCAAGATTATTTACTACATGCGCAGCATCAGCATGTTTATACATACAACCATAAATATGTTATGTATACATAATTCAATTCAACAAGTGAATTCACTGAAGTAAGTCTGTATTAGTATAGCAACTTCTGAAATTATTACTCTCCTTATAATATTCTATAAGTGAATTACATATATACCTATGTCTCCTATGTTGAAGTTTTGTGCTATGCCATTGATGTGGTCTTCACCTCCCCAGCAGGTTACATTTATGAAGTCCACTGCAGAATCTCTGATTGTAAAATTGAATACATATCTCTCTGTTCCTGTATCTGTGATCGAGAGAGGAGCAAATTAGAGTTAGCATGTCACACTTAAAAACCAGCAGGCTATCATGAAAGTTATTCTATTTAGTATTCATTTCTATAATGTACTATTGAATCTAAATCTAATTCACCTTTTTTGCTTGCGACAGACCTAACTTCGCCTTTGGTTAACACGCATCCAATTATGCTCTTGAAAAGGAAAGCACATCAATGTTTTGTATACTGTACATGAAGTGAGTTCAATAGGCTCATCAACTGTTGATATATTCTGTAAGACTATATATTATTCAATGCTTTATAGTTCAGAATTGTGGATCGTAAGAAGGCTGCAATATCAGATATAGATATCACAATGATACCTACAGTGTTTGGCAAGCCGGCACTGATGTCCCGAATGTTAACTCTTCCAGTTGAAGTAACACCACTGGAGTTGAGCTGGTTATAATTTGGATTCCTACTTGAGTACTGTGATTGAGGTTTCGATCCCTCTTGTTGAAAGTCTTGAAAGCGTCCTGACCAAGCCATTCTGTTGAATTCTTTGGCAGATCTTTCTTTTCTCCCTAACCAGTTTAACGGCAAAGAATTAGTTGACGTTTCTTATGCACATTTCAAAATTTCTATAGTGAATGTGAAAAATGTGGCTTTCAAGAGTCTCATTAAGAATAAGTTGTTCTTTGTACTTTGAATGTTGTGTTATGCTATGAACTACTAGTACTAGTAGTAATAGTAATAGTAAAACAAATTATTGTAAACACTGTCAGTGTCGTGTAACGTGTCGACGTCGTGGCCGTGGGTGCCAGTCGGCAGTCCATTCAAGCATTCAAGTTTTGGCACTGTTTTGTTTAGTCAATGAATTACATTATGATTATGATCACGGCAGCACTAACCGCTAACGTCAGCAGTACTTGAATGAACACTGAATGACACTAAACGTATAACAGGCATAGATATAGAATATAGATCTCCATTCCATATCTATGTCTATGAGTATGAGTATGATAACACCACAATAACACACACTTTGTTTGTGCTGTTGGACGTCGTCTGCTGACGGTAGCGGCAGACCGGAAACCGGATACAGATCTCCGTACTCGCAGCAGTTCGCAATCACTTTTGGGTAATTTAATCATGGCTGACAACGATGTGTTTCGTGATGAGAGCGGGAAGCATGTTGCTTTCAAGGAAGTACCGCGTTTTCACGCTCTCTATGCGTACCATACGAACAGGTAACCCAAGAACGAGCACTCTGTCCAATTGTTTTTTTTATACATAGCCCCATTAATTCGTCTGCTAAACAAAATTTGCTTTGAAACGACAACAACAATTACATCAATGACAATGTCAACAACAATTACATCAATGACAATGTCAACAACAATTACATCAATGCATTATGACAATGTCAATTAATGTCAACAACAACAAACACCAACACTGCAACAGTCACTGCCACTGGGGCTCATAGACATAGGGTCTATGTCCCCCAGGGTACTGCCGGAACGTACCCTGGGTACGGTCCGGTATACCGGAACGTACCCTGGTCACTATTTCAGTATTTGATATGGTTAGGGTTAGGATTCGGGTTCGGGTTAGGGAGTAGGCGTAGGCGACTCCCTAGACTCGTTAGTGGAGTAGGCGAGGTACGGTCCGGCATATTAGATAGTACCAGGGTACGTTCCGGTATTCCGGTATACCGGACCGTACCCAGGGTACGTTCCGGCAGTACCCCGGGGGACATAGACCCTCTCAGCGCCACTGGCCAGTGCGTGGCAACAGATGTCATCTATTATCTACAGTCGGCACTTGACACGGGAGTGTCAACACACAATAGCATTGACTCATAACTATACCTAGCCGGCACAAGTTCCCATCTCGCTTGACACTACGTGGCGAGCATTTCGTATGGAAGGGTGTCAGGCTCCTCCACCGTGTAACAGTCGGAGAGCCTGGTCGGTTTAAACTATACCCAACAATCAACAGACATGGACATTACTAGCGCTCATAAGGTCTATGTCCACCATGGTACCGGCAGAACTAAACCGACCAGGCTCTCCGACTGTTACACGGCGGAGGAGCCTGACACCCTTCCATACGAAATGCCTGGTAGCCTGAAAACAAACTCCGAATTTCGTAAATAAAACAATGTATTACCACATTTGACCTCACCTGTTACATGTTTGCAACTATCGCATCACTTCTTAATTACTATTTACCTCAAAATACACGTTAAAATAAGAGCATTTCGAACAGCGCTATAATATTTGAACGTTGTAAAACGCCATACTGGGTGTTCTTATGTCTCTTTTTGTATTGTTTGTGCTTGTATTTTTTGCTACGTATGATGATATATATGGGAAAATGGTGGCGTTTTTTGAGTTTTATCTTATCAATTTATAAATAATTACTCGCTGACACGTAAATACATGCTCAGTGATAGCGCACATATAATAAATCGAGGCGTGGAAGTACAGAGAAGCGGTAAAAATCATAATAAGTTAGATAATTTTACGTTTAATAGCAGCGCACGTCATGCCAAACAATATTCTATTGCGTCGGCTTGTGACCCTCTCGCCAACGTAATGTTAAGCGAGAAGGGAACTTGTGGCTACGCCAGAACGTACCCTGGGTACGGTCCGGTATACCGGAACGTACCCTGGTAACTATTTGATATGGTTAGGGTTAGGGTTAAGGCCAAGACACACTGCAGCGACAGCGACCGACTGTAACGACAAACGACAAAAGTCGCGTCGACTGGCGCAAACACTGCAGCGACAGCGACCGACGTTAGGTCAAAGTTCACCCAGCACTCGCCACTGTAGTACACATCATCACATGAACAAACGGCAAAAACTCATGCTGCTGCTTTTAAATAACAGGCTGCAAAAACTCTCTAGGCATAAGGATGATCCGATAAGATAATAAAGTAAAAGATACGCAGCAAATTATCATGTACTGTACGTACTGTGTCTAGCTTGCCACAGGCCCACAGCTTGCACGCTTTGGTTAGACTGGTTCGCGGCCCCATTGTTTGTGACATGCGTCGCGAGTTTAGCTAGCATTATAGGTTATTTATGACGTAATCGTAATGTCACGTGCCGATGGAAACGGCTGCGATTGGCTATTTGTAAAGTATCGCTGGCGACTGTCACTGGAGAATAGAAACGTTTCTAAATATTTTTGTCGTCGAGGTTGTCCCCGGTCGTTGTCGCGTGTGTGCAATGGCTCATAGGAAACAATAGTTTCTAATTTTCTGAAAAGTCGTTTGTCGTTACGATCGGTCGCTGTCGCTGCAGTGTGTCTTGGCCTTTAGGGTTGGATTTAGGGTTAGGGAGTAGGCGACTCCCTAGACTCGTTAGTGGAGTAGGCGAGGTACGGTCCGGCATATTAGATAGTACCAGGAGTAAGATAATATAGGATAATAAGATATATATATAATCCTATATTATCTTACTCCTGATAGTACCAGGGTATGTTCCGGTATACCGGACGGTCCAGACCGTACCCAGGGTACGTTCCGGCAGTACCCTGGGGGACATAGACCCTCTCAGCATTACTAGCTGCTGCCACGTGACGTAAGTGAGGATGCACAGTCTGCTGTCTGGCATCTGATTCTGGGCGTGCCTCACAATGTATCATTGTATGCGTTTATGATTTTTAGCTCACCTTGACATCGTCAAGATGAGCTATTGCCATGGGGCGTTGTCTGTCAGACGTCCGTCCGTCTGTCAAAATTTGGCTACGGTCAACGATAACTTGAGAACCGTTTGACCCACATGTTTGAATTGTTTCAAATTGCATACAGTTGTTACGCCTATGGGAGAGATGTGAACGTCCTATTTTGGAGCACACCAGTTAGCCTACTTTCGAGCCACGCCCACTTTTTGGCAAAAATGGAAATGGCCATAAGTCAGTTCAGGTTCAACGGATTTTGCTAATTTTTGGTATGTGAATGAATAAGGACTGGCCCCAAACCATATCACAGGGCTTTTGATATTTAAAAAAAATTATTTAAATTAGGTAGATTTTGGCAATTTCACTATGCATTTCAGTGTGTGGCTACGGTCAACGATAACTCAAGAACTGTTTGACCCACATGTTTCAAATTGCATACAGTTGTTACTCCTATGGGACAGATTTGAACGTCCTATTTTGGAGCACGCCAATCGACCTACTTTTGAGCCACGCCCACTTTTTGGCAAAAATGGAAATGGTCATAAGTCAGTTCAGGTTCAACGGATTTTGCTCATTTTTGGTATGTGAATGAATAAGGACTGGCCCCAAAACATATCACACGGATTTTGACATTTAAAAAAAATTATGCAAATTAGGTAGATTTTGGCAATTTTACTATGCATTTCAGTGTCTGCCTACGGTCAACGATAACACAAGAACAGTTTGACCCACATGTTTCAAATTGCATACAGTTGTTACTCCTATGGGAGAGATTTGATCGTCCTATTTTGGAGCATGCCAGTCGACCTACTTTCGAGCCACGCCCACTTTTTGGCAAAAATGAAAATGGCCATCTAGATTCATTCGATTTTGCTAAATTTACCTATACCTACCTACCTAATCATATCTACGTGTAATATTGTGTTTTAGATTCTTCGTTACAGTAATTTGACTGGAATATTTTATTGCTTTTATTTGCACGATAATCAAAAACCAAAATGGCGATCATTTAGGCGTAACGCCATCTCTCGCCCAGATTTCAGACTTTCAGATCTGAAACGTTTATTTTAGCATCAAAACTAACCCTGAAACAAAGCAGTGAAATTTCTATAAGTATAAAACGGGGAATAAGGACATTTGATCACATTTCGGTTCGTCATAAATGAAACACTTACCAAATTTTAAATATCATCTCCCTCCTCTATCACACCCACGATGAGCTATAGTGTCATTGACACTTTCATTCCATTATACCTCCTGTCACCTTGATGGCGATTATAGTCATGGTCATATCTTATCGCGTCCACTAGGCGCCTTTCGTTAAACATCACAATCGTTTATATCGATTAAGTTTACAGTTGAGGTCTAACTAACCAAGTAATGCTAACACAAGGCTCGACACTAACTTTTTTTTTCAGTGGCCCGATCGGGCCACCAAAATCATTGATTTTCAATTTTTGGTGGCCCGAAAATGAAATCTGGTGGCCCGAAAAAAAAAACAAAGAAAAACATTATAAATCTTTATTTCAATCTCGTATTGTATATTATTTGAAAATTGGGCCGTCTGATGCACTTGCACAAGTCTTTAAACAAACCCCACACAATGGCACACACGGACATTGATGATTGAGGCATACATTTGAATTATCCATTCCACGGCATCAAATTTTCACCAGAATCTTGCATACCGTTTTTCTACTTTCACTCATTATTTATCTAAACACGCGCGTGCACATGCTATCGATCAGTTCAGACGTTCAAGAAGATCAAAGTCACAGAGCATGCAAATATTAAAACAAGTAACTGTAATAAAACAACAACACATTGGCTTTTCATGTTAAAATAAAACATATACATTTAATCTTGATTTAATCTCATGAAAGTTAAAATGTCTGGCAGGCTTTGAAACTGTAAAAATAAAATATTGTAG